TGGTATGAGCTTGCCATCCAGTTAATGTCTGCTTGTTACGCGCAAAATGTCGGAAATGTAGTATCAGGATACGTATTGTATCGTGACCTCACTATCGAAAGACCCGTGAAGGTCTGGGTTAGAATGAACCTTCAGTAACCCATGCTTGTCGTAAGAGGCGACTAACGGGATCGGGTGGTCAGACTTGCTGACTTGGTTGACACATGTCATCGGTTCCCAATTGCGCAGTTCGATGCTCATGATGTTGATCACTGGATTGTCTGGTCCAGACGTGATTATTTACAGACCACCGCCATATAGCTGGAATATTGCTGAGTGAGGCGTAAAACTAAACTCACTCACTCACTTACTCACTGTCGATATACGTATCATATGGTGAGGCTGCTGTATTATACATTTGTGACGAATCATTACAGACCTGTCTCTGATACCCGTAAGTGAGAATACTATGTCTTAAAAGACGGATACATAATTCTTTATTACTGTCTGGATCGTGCAGCCTCATCCGCGTTGATCCCCTCATCCCGACGACGTAATAAGCATCGATTTTTAGAACAACCGCGTAATTTGCTTCCGGTGACTGAATTTTATATCGCGTCTGATTGGCTGATTTTATTGCCTCATTTCAGGGGTCGATCGGTTTTATTATTCCGACAGAAATGTAATGAAACATCGAAAGCAAATGAAACGTGGTCGATAACACAGGAGAGTTTTAATTGACGCAAACCACTCCAGCTTCTGATGTTTGCTGTTCGGGTTCGATCATAAACGATGGATGGAAAAGAAGTGATATCATTAGATGGCACAACGATAGAAGTGTCAGATCGTGACCAGGTGTATTTTTCTCTCTATATATATTTATGAGGAATGTCTGCTCATACATTTTTATTACATTTATGTCAATAAAGCCCACGTAACCCATGAAGATGCGGGTTAGAGTTGGTCTTCAGAAACCCATGTTTGTTGTAAGAGGCGACTAACGGGATCGGGTTGACGACTGACTTGGTTGACGCATGTCATCGTATCCCAATTGCTTAGATCGATGCTCATGATGGCGATCACTGGATTGTCTGGTCCTGACTCGATTATTAACAGACCCTCGTCACAGAAGCTGGAAAACTGTTGATTGCGGGTATAACAACAGACAAACACACAAACATATTTTGTGTCACAGACAAACAGACTAACACGTGATTATGAACGAATAATTCCCCGCGGGTAAAGGTGAGATGAAATGGGGTTTAACGTCGCACTTAAAAATATTTCGCTCATATGATGATGTGCATGCGTGTATGTGACTTTTATAAGCTGGTTTAATAGTGCTAGTTCTCTGAGAGAACATGCCGCAGTGAAGCATGAATACCCCACTCAGACACATTATACTGACTCCGAGCCGACCAGCCCTTGTTGTACCCATTAATGCCGAGCGCTAGGCAAGGACCAACAAATACCATATTTTAACGTCTTTTGCTATGACGCGGCCGGGAATCGAACCCGCAACCTTCCGCTCTCTGGGCGGACGCTCTTAGCCACTACACCACGGAGGCGGTCCCCACGGGCTAAGGCGAATGCCGATTTTGAGAGTAGTGTTAATGGATCTGATGGACAGGTGACCTGAGTGTTCGGTTTTCTGGTCCGTATTTAAAAAATCACAACCATTTTGACTGTGGCGAAAAGGAATAAAAATTAAATAACGCTATCTTAAAGTGACATGTATACGCTGCAGTTTTAAGGCTCAACTGAAATGTTTTCTCTTTTATTTATTTTGTTTGTTTATTTCTTTGTTAATGTGCATGCATATATAATTGATATGTGTGTGTGTGTGTGTGTGTGTCTGTATGTGTGTGAATGCATGTGTTTGTATGTATGTGACTCAGCATGCATTTATCTCTTTGTTTATTTATAATTATGTGCGCGTGCTTGCACAAAGCATTTGTAACAGTTAATGAATATTACCATATTAAAAATAACCATAAGTTCTCGGCGTGTATATTGTATTCCATAATATTTTAACGAAAATCGAGCGTAACATGTATATGCTTGAGTTTGTGTGGAACATGATTGTATAGACTACCAAATGACGAACAACACTTTTAAAGTAACATGATTGTATAGACTACCAAATGACGAACAACACTTTTAAAGTAACATGGATTTGTGTGGAACATGATTGTATGCATGACGAACAACACAAATGACGAACAACACTTTTAAAGTAACATGTATATGCAGGATGCAGGAACATGCAGGAGTTTGTGTGGAACATGATTGTATAGACTACCAAATGACGAACAACACTTTTAAAGTAACATGTATATGCAGGAGTTTGTGTGGAACATGATTGTATAGACTACCAAATGACGAACAACACTTTTAAAGTAACATGTATATGCAGGAGTTTGTGTGGAACATGATTGTATAGACTACCAAATGACGAACAACACTTTTAAAGTAACATGTATATGCAGGAGTTTGTGTGGAACATGATTGTATAGACTACCAAATGACGAACAACACTTTTAAAGTAACATGTATATGCATGCAGGAGTTTGTGTGGAACATGATTGTATAGACTACCAAATGACGAACAACACTTTGTGGTGTGGAACATGTATATGCAGGAGTTTGTGTGGAACATGATTGTATAGACTACCAAATGACGAACAACACTTTTAAAGTAACATGTATATGCAGGAGTGTGTGTGGAACATGAACCAAATGACGAACAACACACTTTTAAAGTAACATGTATATGCAGGAGTTTGTGTGGAACATGATTGTATAGACTACCAAATGACGAACAACACTTTTAAAGTAACATGTATATGCAGGAGTTTGTGTGGAACATGATTGTATAGACTACCAAATGACGAACAACACTTTTGTGGAACAGGATGTGTGGAACATAGACTACCAAATGACGAACAACACTTTTAAAGTAACATGTATATGCAGGAGTTTGTGTGGAACATGATTGTATAGACTACCAAATGACGAACAACACTTTTAAAGTAACATGTATATGCAGGAGTTTGTGTGGAACATGATTGTATAGACTACCAAATGACGAACAACACTTTTAAAGTAACATGTATATGCAGGAGTGTTGTGTGGAACATGATTGTATAGACTACCAAATGACGAACAACACTTTTAAAGTTGTAATGCAGGAGTTTGTGTAACATGATTGTATAGACTACCAAATGACGAACAACACTTTTAAAGTAACATGTATATGCAGGAGTTTGTGTGGAACATGATTGTATAGACTACCAAATGACGAACAACACTTTTAAAGTAACATGTATATGTATAGACTACCAAATGACGAACAACACTTTTAAAGGAGTTTGTGTGGAACATGATTGTATAGTTTGTGTGGACTACCAAATGACGAACAACACTTTTAAAGTAACATGTATATGCAGGAGTTTGTGTGGAACATGATTGTATAGACTACCAAATGACGAACAACACTTTTAAAGTAACATGTATATGCAGGAGTGTGTGTGGAACATGATTGTATAGACTACCAAATGACGAGAACAACACTTTTAAAGTAACATGTATATGCAGGAGAACATGTGTGTGGAACATGATTGTATAGACTACCAAATGACGAACAACACTTTTAAAGTAACATGTATATGCAGGAGTTTGTGTGGAACATGATTGTATAGACTACCAAATTGCAAATGACGAGCAACACTTTTAAAGTAACTATTCTGGTCGACAATTTATTTACAAATTTTTTTTAAAATTGAGTATCAGTGACAGGTTCTCACACATCCATCTCCCAAAATGACGCATATAAATACAATTTTAATTCGTGACTGGCCTTTGGAAACATTAGGATCGAAGGAGTTTTGCCCCTTTACGTGGTCTATTCAAGCGTCGGTAAAATATTAATGTCACATGAAAATGTAAACCTAAAAAGTGGAATTGAATTGTAGTGAATGGGTATGGTTTTACGCCGCTTTAAGCAATATTCCAGCAATATCACAGCAGGGGACGCCAGAAATGGGCTTCGCACATTGTACCCATGTGGGGAATCGAACTTGGTGTGACGAGCGAACACACACACACACACACACACACACACACACACACACACACACACACACACACACACACACACACACACACACACACACACACACACACACACACACACACACACACACACACACACGAGACCCGGATTTGAATTGTAAATTGAGAACGCTAAAATCTGATATGGATAGTAGTTTTAATTGTAAACCAAAAGATGAATATAGATAGTGGGGTTGGGGGCGGAATGGTGGCGATTCATGACTTCCCCGGATATACAATAAAGGAACTGAAATACCTTCCCTTAATCGTGCTGTTTAAACATAACATGAAACGACTGCTGATCACTAACAGATGACGCACAGGCACACACACACGCACACACACACACGCACACACACACGCACACACCATACACCTAAAGAGCCGTTAAGCAGTAAAAAATCGTGTATACATAAAGGAGTTTTGACAAGCATTATTATCTGCATTCAATCTTTTATATATTTATGACTTATGCACCTGCAGAAAGCACATGCTTCAATTGATGTCAAGATTATCGTAAGTTTTGTCCTTGGTCTAAATTTACCAGACGCCACGATCTCCATTTCAACTTCGTTGTTTTATGCTTAGTTCACAAGGACCCGGTTTTTCCGGGTATGCTATGAATAGACCTGACGCACATTGTACTAGGGTAACTTGTGCGTGGCGATATTAATATGGCAGGAAAATCATGAAAGTGGGTGGCGCGGAGTAGGGAGAAGCGCTGTCTGTGTGTCATATTCATCATAAAAATATTTGTATCTTTTGTTAAATAGCACATATACATGCCCTATTAGAGGATATTGTCAAGACAGATGAGATATATTGTCAATTGTTTCACATTGGTATTCACATATTCCGCTTTATTTCAAAGTTATGAACAGGTTTCGGAAAACCTAAATAATTTGGGAACCCGTTTGAGGATGTGTGATTACTTTGTTGCTGTTGTGAAACGATAATGATCAATTGTGAATGAATATTGGAACATTATGTATGGACTGAGTATGATTTTACGCAGCTTTTAGCAACACCTGGAATGGGCTTCACACATTGTACCCATGTGGGGAATCGAACCCCGGTCTTCGGCGTGACGAGCGAACGCTTTATCCACTAGGCTACCCCACCGCCCCTCAATGTGTATGGAAAGATCTGTGGGAATGTGCAATTTGGATGAGCTTGACAAGTGTGTTGATTAGTAGTTAAGCACCGACGAAACTGATATGTGGAGCAATATAGGGGGAATAGGATTTGCAGTGTATAGGGGATATATACGAAAACTGGGGATGATATAAACAAACGTGTGAGATCATTTTGAAAAATGTGAGCGATATGATATTGAAGCAAAGATCAGATCATATTGAAGCATGAGTAATAATATACTGAAGATATTTGTGTGATATTGACAAATGTCTACAACGTTAGATCACAGGAGGCTTATGAAGATACTGAATAGTTTGTGAGGTGTTAGGCAAGACAAATCGACATTCCACTGGCCGTTCATAAGAGATGCAACGAACCAGACGCTATTCTGTCTATGTTCGTGTGGTAATCTTTGGTAATAGGACCCTGTTGACTGCAGTTTGGTTATGTTGCATAAGGCTTGATTTGAAACTTCAAAACCTGTTAATAACCACTGTTCATGTCAGAGCATTGAGGATCAGTCTGATCTTCTCCTCCGATATTTCCATCTTGCTGACCTTCACACTGCCCATACTGACAGATACTCTGTCTGGGTTGTACACGCCAAACATGGGTAGCAGCGGCCGCCTGAAGTCCACCTCGTCCAGCACCGTCATGACCTGGCTGGCCTCCACATCAATGAACGCAACCTTCTGTCTGGTATGATCATAGGCAATGCCAACACGAAGGGTGCCTGACGCCACTGCATTGTTGGGAAGAGCCTCAGTTGGTAGACACAAGAGATGACGCTTCTCCTTCCAGAAGATTCGACAGATTCGGTTATGGGTTGAGCAATGGGACACTGCCATGCTGTAGGAATGTGGTACCTTCCCTATTGTGTGCTCCTTATCCTTCAACTCCTCTCTACACATACCTATCTCCAGAATGAGATCATTCTGTGTCAGGGTACTTTTCAAACAGACCTTGGCTGTCATCTCTAGGTAACCAGGAACACCAGGTGAGGGTAGGTTTGTTGTGCCGCAGGTGCCCATGTACCTCTGTAGCCTTCCCTGTCCCTGGAGCAGCCTGATAGTCTGCCTGTCGTTCACCAGTTCACCGTTAGTGGTTATGTGGGCCTTGTGGAAGTTCACCTTGTCATTGCTGAACTTAAGGTGGATGCCTGTGAAGATTAGCAACTGGTCAGAGCATTAATACAAAATTATGAAATGCAGAATAATGTTCGTTAACACATGCTTATACATGTCTTGTTTTCTTGAAATGAAAAAGGTCTGTCCAAACACAATGCAACTATTTGAACTGAAATATTGAAAATAGTGTTGAATATTACAAGACTGAAAAACTCACATTGAAGGATACAGGACTTTCTTAATTGCCTCGGCTCGTGGATGAAGATTCCTACGAAAACAAATGCTTATATATTATAGTTGCAGATAGAAAGATCGTAATATGACAAATTATTTTCATAAAAGAGGCATTGGTTGTATTTAGGACACTTACCACACTGTTTCAGTTTATCCTTCAGCAATGAGACTGCTTCACAGCTGAGATCTCTTTCCTGAAAGGAATAAAGGTATTACGTTACAGTGGATCATGTTTCATTTATAGTTCATCTATTGATCAATCCGTTAAACCATCCCTTTTTAGATTATATTCATCCATCAGTCTTTTTGTCAATCCAACCCTACTTCAAGAAATTGATTCAGATAGCTGTTATGGGTTTATTCTAGTTACTACTTGTTTCTGGTTACAACAAACTACGCAATGAAATAGGTTATGACAAGAGAGCTTATGAGAACAGAAACAGATCTATATGTGCCCTTTGGTGTAACATTCAACCAGCAAACACATAGCACAGCTATTTTTGATCTGTGGTAACTGAGGAATTGTTTGAAACTTACTTCTTTGTCTTTGGCCTCTTTCGTTTTGTATTCGTCTGTACGGGATGTAAGTTTCTGTTGCAGAGCATTATTTTGTTGCTGAAGATCTAGACAAAACAAAAAAAACACAATTCATTTTATACTCTGTCAACAACATGCATTCATTATAATGACATTGTATTGCATATTGTGACTACAAAGACAATGCTTTAATCTGGGAACAATGGACAATTTGTTTTCAAGAATAGCATTTCTCTGTGTAGAATTAATGGTGAAATCTCTTATGGTGGTGTATGGTCCTGTGCATAGCGCTCAGGTCACACCATTTGAAGGTAAGCTGTGTGGGGCGCGGCGAGTCCCCTGGATGGGTGTCCGTGTGTGACAACTTGAATCCTGAGAGTTTCTAGGACTACAGTCCTGCCCCACAACGAAGCACATGTGATAATTGTGGTCTCACTTTCGGCAAGCGAGTTTGTTCAAAATTGCCTCTGTTCACCCAGCAGAAAACGGGTACTCGGTGAAGTCGTGAGACTGTTAAACTTCTAGGCAGCTTTGGTTATCCGGGTTAATATGGATCAGACAGTGCGCCTTAAGCAGGATATCTGGCCTGGAAAAGCGCGGTATAGATATTCGCATTAACATTATGAGCTTAAACTATGCATAATTGCATCTCCATGTGTTGATGTACTACTTAAGAAGAACAAATTTGATCTCACCTTCAATTGTTGGCAGGTCATCATGGTGACGTGTATGTCTCCCTGTACACTTGGTATCCCCGACCCTGCGTATCAGGCTATGCAGTGCCGCATGCCCTTGAGGAGAATACACAATGTCCTTAGTCAATGCTGTACATTTCGGCAGTAATCGCTTCCGATCTTCTTCTGCATTTCTGGCAATCATTGGCGCCAGAGCAATCAGGTGCACCTGGTCAACGTTCATGCATCGCTGGGCGTAGTCCAGTGTCATCCTGAATGCAGCTTCTGTTTCTTGTAAAGACTTTATATCCTGAACTATGTCGTCTTGTAGCATTTTACTTTCCTGGATCATGCTCTGTCTAAGATCTGTGAAACGCTCTTTTAAGGCTATCACAAAGCCTTCGTAAAAGTTACACATGTCTTGAGCCTTCGCATTCGTGTTGGTCTTGAGAGCGTTAAAACGGTCATATCTTTGTTTGAGACATCTCTGAAGGTTTTGTAGAGATCCGTTATGATCTTCGATCACCTTCTTAAGGAGTGACTTTTGTTTATCGTATTCTTCCTCAAAGGTGCTGACGTCATGCCTAGCATGCAGGTTTGAGAAGCAAGTGCCACATATTTTCTTGTGGCACTGATGGTCAATATACATAACACGTTGACTAGAATGGGTGTCACACATTGGCTTCTTGTAATGTTCCCCATTTTCTTTTTCAGGAGATCTGTTAATGCAATGCACGTCATGGGATGCACTGGAATTGATCTCCTTATGAAGCAGCGTACAGTCTTGACACAGGTAGATTTTGCATTCCCTGCATATTGACACGACTGCACCCTTACATGGGACCTTAAGGAATCCACAACGGATATTCGTATCACGGGTATGTTCGTGGCGCCGAACATAATCCACTTGTACAGCTTCATTGCGAGCAACCTCACGACCGCAGAAACAGATGAGGTTTTCCTCTGCATGTTGCTGAAGGCAGGGCTCACACACAGAGTGAAGACAAGGCAAAACAAGACCTTGTTTAGGATTGCATGCTTCAGAGGTCACTAAGGCACACTTCATTGTATCAACAGGACCTGCAGAAAAATACAATCTGTCTATAATGTTTATATCTGTGTATATCACAAATGTACAACATTTGACACATATTGATCTCTCATCTCTAGGGACGGGAAGGGATAGGGTATGGAAGCCAATTGACTATATTTACATTTTTTTTCTGTGATTCCCCCTTTCATAATTAATTGGTCAGTTTAAATAATTATTGTATTTGAACGTTATTTAATTATAACAGCATGTATCCATTTGCAGTTTGCAATAAGTAAAACATTATTAAGGTAATCGTTTATGTATTGGAATGTTGTGGTACCGCTTGTTTTCACCGATTATATTTTAAGATCACCCCAGACCAACAAAGTATTTCTTTACAGAGTTTCATTATGGATTGAATTCTAAATGTTACACAGTACAGCCAGTAAGTTGTAACACAATAATATGATAACCGAATTATCATACAATGAAGCCATGCCATTCATTTACATGGTACTTAGCAATGAAACTTGATGTTTATGTTAAAAATATTCTAAATATTATCTTTCTGCTGACAGGATCGGTCGTTTAAAAGTCTGGATTGCTACTTAATAACTCATACAATGCATGTTTTAATTCACATACGGAAAACATTCTTACCGGAAGCACATGGTTGTTCCTGTTCTTCCTGCTCGATCTCGATTCTAGGAAGAGCTAGCGACTTTGACTGTAAGTCTTTTGTTTCCTTGAAATGCATTCATATACATTTGTTATATTGTGGACGTTGTTATAGTGATAAACAATACGCTTGAATATTTACACTTTTGATAAGTGCATTTTCACGATTGATATGTTTCGTGAATTGAAAAATACAGACATGCACTGAAATAGTCATACAAATAAATTATGCCCTTATATTTTATTAAAACCTTTATGTCGAACTTCCTAACTCATCTTATCTTACAAGACATTTCAAAAGATGAAGAAGTACAGATCAGAGTTCATCTTACAAAATGTACGAAACAAAACGAGTTCATGTTCTTACTTTCTCCAGGTTGCTTATATGTTCCCCGAGGCTGTGGTTCCTTGTCACCTGAGCTTCCAAATCCCTTTGGGCTACAGATGGAATATTGAATACGTATTAGTGTATAGGCGCATCAATTGAAGCAACCTGGAGGCACTGACTACCCCGAATTGTTTGCTCTAGAGGCCTTCATCAACATTAAACTTACGACAAACTGTCTGATCATGAAAATGATGTATTTCGAGAAGAAGTCAAGCAATCCAAAGAACATAATAATACCGTTTATCTTCCCTTGCCTTTCCTCGTCGAGTTCTCTACCAATATTCTTCCTTTCGTTAATGACAATGGCTTCATATTCATGTTTCATCCGCTGTTTTTCCTGCAGTACAACAAAGTGGCTGAGTGAGTTAACTGGGCTTAACGTCGTTTTCACAGTAGTTCAGGTATCTCACGGCGTGGCCGTTCAATAAGGGAGGGAACTCCGCAGTGATGTAGTTCTCAGACCACTTTGATCTGACACCATCGAGCACGATTACGGGGCTGACGAACCGAAAAGCATAGTTGGAGAGCCGCTCTCGGACAAAGAATATGTTCTAGAACTCAGGTCCAAATATCCAGGGAACGCCACAGGAAATACTACACAGTATAATAAAACTTCCACATGCACAAAAATTCACCATGAATCCCAGTTTGAATAGAGAGGTATATGATAGCTAAAGATATTATAGCTTTTCGTATTTTACAAGGAGTTGTTGCTAGCGGGAAATTGAACGAACAACTGTCCATGAATTTATTCAAGTAAGCGGACTGGGTCATTAGCTCCACAGCAACGTCTCGTTCTACAAAAGGATGATTCATGTGAAGGCAAAATGTCAGCGATGCATTTTTCAGTAGTACAATGTAACTAAAACAGAATAATGCTGTTTTCTTAAGGTTAGAAATCTACTGTGTATTTAAAACATACTTGTTGCAAACGACGAATAGTTTCTTCTTTAGCCTCTAGTTCTCGTTCCAGTTTTGTTTCAGGAATGTATACCAAGTCCTGAGATCCTGAAGGAAATAATCAAATATTTCACTGATGGTCAAAGGATTTAGTCGTTTTGATGACTGTTAGTATGAAGGAATATGAGCAAAAAGTATGAAAAATGATATAAATATGAGCATCACTGCCCTTGAAATACATTAGGTTCATGTGCAGTTGGAAACGTGTTTGGATTAAAACAGATATTGATGTTAGAACAAAAGTTTGGTTTTCTGACATAATTGCAAAAATAAGAATAATAATATTGCTTTAGCCAAACTGGATGCATTAAGAAGTGAACTAGAACAATCAAAACGAAAATACGCAGGCACGATCATAGCTGGTGATGTGAAAGGAATTAGGTATATTGCCCTACTTCAATATCTATCATAAATGGACTTGTATGATATATAAATGTCGACTGATTTTCAGTGTTTTTATCCAAACTTTTATGACGCAACACTAAACTATTTGAACAATATGTATATACATTTGAAACTCTATATCTAGCCATTACTCAATGCCTTGTATTGGAACTACACGTCTACTCTTTCTCCAGATGTCAGTGTTAGTGTCATGCTAACAACTACTGGAACACTACCCTTGAAGGTCCGGGTTAGAAAATTGGCCTTCAGTAACCCATGCTTGTCGTAAGAGGCGACTTAAAGGATCGGGTGGTCAGGCTCGCTGACTTGGTTGACACATGTCATCGGTTCCCAGTTGCGCAGATCGATGCTCATGTTGTTGATCACTGGATTGTCTGGTCCAGACTCGATTATTCACAGGCCGCCGCCATATAGCTGGGATATTGCTGAGTGCGGCGTAAAACTAAACTCATTCACTCACTACTGGAACACACAAATATATAAGTCTATACCTTCCCCACGTGCTGTGTGATCCAAAGCCTGCTTGACATGGCGCTGGTCCCTGTCGAGTACAATGCAGAACTCTCTGTATCCACGTTCCCCTTTACACATCAGCAGTCTTACCAACTCCCTGATGCGATCCGACTTGACCTTTTGGTCCCTGCATCTGTCGTACTCCACCTCGCTGAGAACATCCACAGATACCAGGTGATCCAGTACTCCATCTGGCTGCAGCTGTTGCATCAGCAGAGGTAGGTTCTTCTTCAAGATCGTTGATGGATCCATGTGTAGTCTCCTTAGTTTTCAGAATATGACATCATCTTGCCTTTCACCCTGAAATGTTCAGGGTTTGATTGACAAGAAACTGATGAGAATATATTTAGAAATCTTTTATGGACTTTCACTAAGTGTGAGTTCATTTTGTGAACATTGGAGCTTGGGGTACTGTTCATACAATGTTTGCTCTTTGAGAGGTGCTATGTGTGAAAGAGCGTCATGATAACTTTCATATCTCAGTTTTGTATTACCTCAAGATTACCAGAGAGCTAAATCCTGTCCATAATAGATATTCAACAAAAGCCAATGTTGACAGGATCTCTTGTATGTTCAAACTGACCTGCAGTAACATGTTTACAGTTTTGTTACAAACAATATCACCGTTACACGAGATGTCTGCTACGAAAGCCTAATGCTGCCATTTTTGTAGAATAATTTTTTTTTCGTTGCTTCGAATATTTTCTCGTTGCCTAGATGACTTTCTCGTGCTTCAACTATTTTCTCGTTGCTACGAATATTTTCTCTTTGCTACGAATATTTTCTCGTTGTTTCGAATATTTTCTCATTATTTCAATTATATTTTCGTTGCTTCGATTATTTTCTCGTTGCTTGAGTATTTTCTCGTTGCTTGAGTATTTTCCTGTTACTTCAGGTTTTTTACAGAAACCTGAAATTTCAAGTATTTTCTCGCTACTTGAAGGAACGAGAAAATAATCGAAGTAACGAGAAAATATCTGAAATCACTGTATTGTTTGGTCCAGATGTTATTATTTACGGACCACCGCCATATATCTGGAATATTACCGAGTGCAGCGTTAAACAACATACAAACAAACTTGTTTACAAGATCAGAACAATTGTTCTGCATATACTCGCGAAAGTGAAAGTAGAGGACTTTTATACAGGAATAGTGAAGTATTCTGTCCGCATTGACGTCGTCTCGACAAAAGTTTTGTGGGCAACATGTGAATGTCAGTGTCGTGTCCGGATCCTTATATTTACCATCTCTTCCAATGTGATTTGTCATATAAATACAAGATAAAAACCGTATTTAGCTCAATGTGCCCTTTCACATGCTTTGCAAGAACTATTTGCTGCATCAAGGAAAGGTTTTCAAATGATATGTGACTGTCATTCATGCAGACATACGTTAATAAATTTTAACGTAAAATGTACACGTTCATAATGAAACGTGTAGTAATTATTCGGTACAACAGACAAGTAAAGAAAACACGAGATACAGACAGAGACAGACACGCACACACGCCTCAATACGCGCACAGATCTCCCTCATTGCCTTAGTGATGATTTCTTGGAGTGAATGTGTGAGTCTAGTTTTACGCCGCTTTTAGCAGTATTCCATCTATACCTAAAAAGGACTTCACACATTGTACCCATGTGGGGAATAGAACCCCGGGCATTCGACGTGGAGAGCGAACGCTTTAACCACTAGGCCACCCCATTGCCCTGCCTTCTTGGGTGAACGTTAAGTAGATTATCTTGAATTCGAATACCAGTGCGACAACACTTTATCTGTCAATACCTCCTCAGCTCAAGGTGCAGGATAGAGAGGTTTGATTCGGGCTGTTCAAGAAAGAGGTTCCCACAATTGCAACTGTGACAGCATTTTCGAAATTGTACATTCTATCGCATTCTCTCATTTCTGAAAATGTATACATTCTCGCATTTCCGAAATTGTATTCTATCGCATTTCTCATTTCTGAAGCTGTATACGCTCTTGCATTCTCGCATTCTCGAAATTTTACATTCTATCGCATTCTCGCATTTCTGAAGCTGTATACACTCTCGCATTCTTGCATTCTCGAAATTGTATATTCTATCGCATTCTCGCATTTCTGAAGCTGTATACGCTCTCGCATTCTCGAAATTCTACATTCTATCGCATTCTCGCATTTCTGAAGCTGTATACACTTCTCGCATTCTCGAAATTGTACATTCTATCGCATTCTCGTCGCATGCATTCTCGAAATTGTACATTCTGTCGCATTCTCGCATTTCTGAAGCTGTATACACTCTCGCATTCTCGAAATTGTACATTCTATCGCATTCTCTGATTTGTGAAATTGTATATCCGATGTAACTCCCCTCTGGGGGAATAAAGAACATAATTAGTGGTTGATATTATGGACAACAACCCACACTGATACGATGTTAGGCAGGAAACCATGTCAGTGGTACTAACCTACCGACCATAATCATACCTCACGACAATTTAAAAAAATAAATAAAAATGAACAAACACAAAAAAACACAGGAAAGCATTTTAAGCCGTAATCGCAACAGTATTCAGGGATAGCTTGGCGAGACAGCAAATATCGCAAAAGAATACGAAACTAATTAAAACTGCAAGAAAATAATTAAAGGAACGAACAAGCAAAAGTGTCGAGTTTTTTAAATAGACTTAAAATACCTCAACAAGGTTCATTCGACATTACAGAAATAGAGTCTAAGAAACAATCTGGATCTTTATAGTTGTTTTCTGTTTTGTGGTTTGTGTGATGTTTATGTCAATGGTTATGATGGATAAGAAAGAACTACAGATATAATCAAATATTTAATAAACGTGAAATTTTAGTTCATAAAAGTAATTTGAGCTACATCATAAATCAATGGAATATTGAAAAAATCCGAATTAAGACAACTGTCACTCACCAGAGAGAAGTGTATACGTAGATGACTTGTCCGCCTATTCTCTATTACTGATACTCGCTTGTGGCTTCGCTGAAGCAGCGAAGGGAATTCCCACACTGCGTTACAGTCTGAGAGCTAGACGCGCACAGGCGCACAAGGAAGTAGCGTTAGTCAACATATGCACGATGAAGCGGATGTATTATAACAAAGGCCGATATCCTTTTATACGACCTTTGCATTCACTGTATAATGGTCATTGTTTGTGAACAAATATTTTCAGTTTGTTATACCCTGATGATGCGATATTTGCCACAACACTTACAACATTCCAATTATATTGCAGGTATACCTTTCGTCAAACTCTCTATGTGAGAAACAATAATCTTGAACTCGACCTTACCACTACTTCGAATACTTGTGTGGGTACAATTTCGAAGTCAGGGTACATGACATTCATAACGAGACGAGTGCCACTTTTGGCAATATTCCAGCTATATAACGGCGGGGGACACCCTAAATGGGCTTCATACACTGTACGCATGTGGGGACTCAAACCCGGGTCTTTGGCGTGATGAACAAACGCTATAACCACCAGGTTACCCCTCCGCCCCTTAATATATAGAGAATACTACACGAGGTCTCATTACATACCAATTATACGAAACGAGTGTCCTTCCTATGGTATCTGAAAGCGAGATCAGATAAGATAGGAAGGTCTCGTATTTCGGTTTCGTATAATTCGTATGTAATGAGACCGAGTGTGGTATTTTATTTATTACCCAAGTCTTACATGCATTAAATTGACAAAATAGCGTATTTTTGTTATGTTTTTGGTTTCAAACCGAAACCGGTTACATAAAGAGGTTGCGGAAGAGTTTTGTACTGTAGTACAATATTTGCATGACGTCACACTGTAATGACGTCACTGCTTTGGTAACCGACGTCACGATGCATGTCAGTTGTCATCGCCTCGTACAGCCTCCTACAGTAAACTACTCCGTAGCACCGCGTTTCTTGGTTTGCAGTTGCTTCATTCGGCTAACATCACTGGTGGAAACATTGCGTTTATGTTTTTCGACGGATATAATGTCTCAGTTCGACTCACAATTAAACAGCGACACGGCAACGTTCGCGATGTTTACATTCCCACAATGCATTTAAGTTGTAGAATGAATGAATTCACGTGTTTGTTATGAATGAAATCATAGTTACGTCAGAATGTGACCTAATTGAGAGGTCATCGGTTATCCAAATCGTTAGAATCTCAGGTCAAGTCGCTACGACACAGGTCAACGCGATACGACACTCGTGTGACGTACGAGATTAGTATGCAACTACCCATACGTTGACCACGTGGGTAATAAATAGCAGTTATTATTACAGTAAAACAGCGAAAGGAAAGTAACAGAGGAAGAGGTTTGCCTTTGTGACTGGTATATGTATTTGCAGGAAGTCCGCCAGTGTAAATCTTCACCGTGATGTTATCTACAATTTCCTTACCAGATAAGGATAAGTTGAGGTCACACTGTATTTTGTTTGATTTAACCACGTGGCCATGTCTTTTTGTGAATATGTCAAACAACCATGACCACATTTCCAACAAGTGGACACGCAGACAGACACAGACACTTCAATAAAATAAGCGTATCTGAGTGTGCGTGCGTGCGTGGGTGCGGGCGTGGAGGTGAGTACTTATTTATTTTTTTTATCACTTTATTTCTTTATAATGGGTACATAATTTATGCATTTGTGGTACATGTAAATATTATAAAACAAGGACATGGGTGGTAGATAATCCGTAGGCTATAAGATAATCCGTAGGCTATAAGAATACATTTGTTGTTGCAATTTATGTGAAGAGGTTATGGCAAGATGACCAAAAGGTGAAGAATTTACCATAGTTGCAGTGCGAAAAGTCAGCACATTTGTCAATTTCATACAAGGTGTGTATATAATTTTTTAATCCAGCAATCTGTGGATGCGAATTGGAACATCTCTTTGCATATATATAGTATTTTGTTGCGATGATAATAAGGTTTAGTACATCATTTCTTTTTTCTTTATATCCAAAGATGATATGTTTTGCATCCAGAGTTAATTTGTGTCTGTTTCTTGTTCAATCCAGGTTTAGTTGCTGCCACAACGTGTTATTATACAAGTATTGGAAATGTGATCATGGTTGGTTCAGTTGACATCTACACAACGACTGTGTGGCCGCCTGTCCGTCTGTCGCTGATATGATATGCACAGCATTTGATATTATAGTAGTTAAAAATATTAATAGTGAGTGAGCGAGTTTAGGTTTACGCCGCACTCAGCAATATTCCAGCTATATGGCATCGGTCTGTAAATAACCGAGTCTGGACCAGATAATCCAGTGATCAACAGCATGAGCATCGATCTGC